CGACAAACAGCTAATCAGCTGTTTGTCGGCTCAGCGCGGCAGCTATGTAAATGCAAATGAAGCTGCGATCATTTAAATCGCGGCTTCATTTGCCTTTGCTGATCTGTCTAATCTACATGCCTCTGCCGACAGAGGCATGTAGTCTAGACACAGCCCCTATGTTGCCCAGGCTTCCAAATTTAACATCCCTTCTATGAATTATCCCACTGGTATAAGTACAAAATCATATAGAAGTGGAAAGTAGTTGGCTTTGTACATAAATTAATTTCTAAATGTAGTTTAAACTACTAGAAGCAAAACACCCCACAGTCCATATATTTTTCTTTCACTAACAGATTTAATGCGATTGTGGAATGGACAATAAAATGTTTGGCTCTGTATTCTCTAACCTTGCTGCTAAGAGATATATACTAGTAACAAAATGTTCACATAAACTTTAACATTTTTTTCTTGGCTAAAACCACAACAGGAGGAGAAAAAAATCTGCTGACATAGATAAAGAATTTGAAAAAGCTCCTCTGGTGTGTGCCATTTCAGTCTGCCAGTTTATAGCCTGGGAACATTATCACAGCTTCATTTCCACAACAAAAGGGCACTATTCTTTTCTTAAAGGTTTGACAGTTCATCTTGTCCTTGGTGTTTTGCATCATAAATGCACTTGTATTGTCAGCTTTTCTATTAACACTCATCTATCTAGAGATGCCAAAGAAAAAGCTAAAGAAAAGGACGTGTTTGACAGGTTACTGTAGTTTCTTTTGTGTACTGTAATCTGCAGACTTCAGTGGTTAAAAATTACAGTAGCAATTGTGCATATGGTACATTTTAAAAATTGGATGAACTTTTCACATTTGAATGTCAGAAATTCACATGGTTTATGCTCCATATAAGTACTGATTATGGTTTATATTCTGAATAGTGCTTAGAGGTCCCAGTCAGGTTTGGGACTTAATAATTCATGCTCAGCACTGTACAAAGGCAGAATAAAAGTTATTCCCTACTTCACAGAGTTTACAGCCTAAATAAAGAAGACAGAGGGTGTCTTTTGTCCACAGGTGGAGAGGAAAAGGATGTAACATACAAACAGAATGATTAGGATGTTGGGCTGGCAACATGTACAATACAACTTTATTTAGCTTTTTTTCACCTTTCCTTTTGTTATAATTATATAGAGAGGTGAGCCTATTTTCATTTTTTTTTAGAAATGTACTGTATACAGTACATATCTTTACAATAGCTAAATAGAACATGGAGTATTAGAAATATGTTGAACGTGAGATTGTTGCAATAAAACTGGTTTAATGAGGATTTGGAGATCTTACAGTATGGAGATTTTCAATTCTAGTTTTCCAAATAAAACCCAGAGCAGGTTCACAATGTACATCAGTTGTTACCAGTTGTTACCAGTTTGTTGCCTTATGAGAAATGAGTTTGTCAGTTTAACTAAACTGGGCTAAAGTCAAGGAGTACCTATTTTAGTTTGTATATGCAAAAACAACAAGGAGTCCTGAGGCACCGTAGAAACTAAGGGTAGGTCTACACTGCATTCCCCTTTCATTGCAAATGAAGCCGGCACTTAAATATCTCATGCTTCATTTGCATAATCATGTTATGGCACTATTTAGAAATAGCGCTATTTTGAAATAAAACACGCTGTGTAGACATGTTATTTCGAGAGAAAACCCTTCTTTCAAAATAACTGTTATTCCTGAGGAATAACTGTTATTCCTGACGAAATAATGTGTCTACACAGCGAGTTTTATTTCAAAATAGCTCTATTTTGAAATAGCGCCATAACACAATTATGCAAATGAAGTGCAAGATATTTAAATCCTGGCTTCATTTGCAATTTCAAATATCTTCATTTGCATTCCTCTATCGAAAGAGGAATGCTGTGTAGACATACCCTAACAGATTTATTAGGGCTTAAGCTTTCATGGGTAGAACCCACTTCATTAGATGAATTGGAGTGGAGTTTACAGAGGCATGGGTATATATATATTTATATATAAGGACAACAAAAGAAAGGGGGTACTTATGTAAATGGGGCTAATCAAGTGGACGTGGCTCATTCATAGCCCTAGATATGGATATCAAGCAAGGGGAAATTGCCTTTATAATGTGTTAGCCAATTAAGATCCTTATTCTCAATTAGTAGTATTGATTCATTAAGGGTATGTCTACACTGCAGTGTTTTTCCAGAAAAACAGTACTTGCGTCCACACTGCTATTGCGTTCCTTCAACAAAAAGTCGAAAGAACGGGTGTTTTTTCCAACGGCAGTAAACCCCTTTCTACAAGAAATAAGCCTTTTTCTGTGGACACAGAAGAGGGAGTTTTTTTCGAAAAAAGAGGCCTCCAGGAAAGAACACAGGTCATTCCATCCAAACTAATCAGAACTCTATAGTTCCTGTCTCCTGCACTACATGGCCTCAGGAGGCAGTCCCTGAGCACCCCCCAGGCTCCTGCTCACAGGCTCTGGGGAGGCCACACACATGTCTGAGCCCTGGTGGGGACACTTCTACCACCAGCCACTGCTGGGACAAGGGTGCATGCATGACCCCACACAGAGTGAGGAGTGCTGCACATGGCACACGGGCATGCCTGCATGCACGAGGCCCCACCTGCTCCTGCGAACAGTGCTGCCAGGAGCAGGTGTGTACAGGCCCCATGGAAGGCCAGGATGCTCCAAGCCCCTCTCCCACCCTTGGGGTCCCCGTGTGGATGGATACTTCCCTTGCCTGCTTGTTCGTGGGATGGGGAAGAGGTGGAAGCATGGTCCCTAGGCATCTCGGGGCCCCTGTGTGTCAGGGCCCACTGTGCAGGCCACACATGGCCATGTTCCTGGGACATCCCTATCCTCTGGCTTGAGGACCGTTGCTCACTGCTCACATAGAAGGGCGCAGCCTCAGGGACAGTGTCTGCATGGATGAGTGACCGCCTCTCCCTCTTTATTCTCCACAGCCATGACTGAGGGGTGATCACCGCTATCCAAGACAGCCCCACCTACCACCGAGGTTACAGAGGTCTCCAGACCCGAGGTGGCACTTCCAGCCGTAACATACACCACTCCCAGCCCTGAGCCCCGCTCCTCCCTACTCCTATCCAGGTTCTGAGCCCCCCTTCTCCTCTGTTTCTTTTATTATGGAAAAAATACAACATTTTTGTTTTTCAACTCAAAACTGGTGTCTTTATTGACAGTACAGGGAAGGGGGAAAAGGAGGGGTTGTTGTTGGAAAGGCATAGGGAGGCAAGGCACAGGCCCCTAGTCAGGAGGCCCTGTGTTGAGATACTGGATCCTTGAGAGAAACTCTCCCTCAGGGCCTCCCAGATGCGCACCCCATCCTGATGGGCCTGTGGGATGGCAGCTGTGCATGGCTGCTCGAAGGCCCTCCCTTCCTGGCTGGCCTCTGCCCCCCATCTTGGTAGGAAGGCCTCCCCCTCCCTCTACATGATATTGTGGAGAACACAACAGACAGAGACCATCTCAGGGATGTTGTGCTTCCCCACATCCAGGTGGATTAGGGGGCACCTGAACTGCGCCTGCAGGGACATTCCACCTGCATTAGGGCCCGGCTGAGGTGGGCATTGAATTGGTCCCTGCTGGGGTCCAGGTGGCCGGTGTACGGCTTCATGAGCCATGGCATGATGGGGTAGGCCCCGTCCCCCACAATGCACAGTGGCATCTGCACGTCCCCAACCTGAAAGTCACACCGGAGGAAGAATATGCCAGATTCCAGCTTGTGGTAGAGAATGGAGTTTCAGAAAAGATGGGCGTTGTGCACCCTGCCCGACCACCCAATGAAAATGTCAGTGAACTGTCCTTGGTGATCAACCAGGGCCTGCAGCACCATCAAGAAATAGCCCACAGACCAGTAGCTGTCTAGGGTGGCGAGCTTCCAGATGGCGATGGTGACCCACTTTTCCAGGGGGGTGGCAGGCCACAGGTGGGTGTTGCGTCATCCAAGGGCAGGGGCAAGCCAGGCACACAGCTCCATAAAGATGGCCTTCTGCATGCGGAAGTTGTGGAGTCACTGCTGATCATCAGCCCCGCTCCATCACCAGCCAGTCCCACCAGTCAGAACTGGTGTCCAGCCTCCAGAAGTGTCTCTTTACCATGGGGTGCGGTTGGACGGGAATTGCTCCAGCATCCAGGCAGAGGGTCTCACTCATGAGCTGGGACTCGAGTTCGTGCAGGACCAAGAAAACAGTCTGCACAAAGTGCTGCAGAAGCTGCAGCATGGCATTTGAGTCCATTGCATGCCCAGAGGCAGCTTCGGCTCCATGCCAAGGAGTATGCTGTAGTGTCCTGAAGCAGGGCAACCAGAGCACACACAGCAAAATCTTTGTTGTACCTCCAAGAGGTAAGCAAGCACAAGCAGAAGCAGAGAAATGGCTGTCTGGAGGCGTCCCTTTAAGCATATGTCTCAGCTAGCCTCAGAAGCAACTGCTGACCTAATGCCCTGCCTGAGCTGGTTCCGGGTGGCCTTAAATGCAAGATAGCATCTAATCAGTGTGGACTCTATCTTTTGAAAAAGAGGATCGCTTTTTCAATGTGCTTTGTCAATGTGGACGCTCTCTTTCCGAAGTTTTTCCAGAAGATCTTTTATAGAAAAGCTTCTTCTGATAGAAGCCTGCAGTCTAGACATAGACTAACATGGTTGTTTAAACTGGATTAGAAAGAAATATAATTAAAACAATTCAAGCCACTAGTGGAGACATTCTTATTTCAAGTCTGATTTCCATGACAAAGAAATTACAAGCAGTGAGCAACATCTATACTGGTCAGACAAGAGGACAAGCACCAGATCAGACCAAGAATAACTGCAACAATACGACTTTTCCAAGGAGAATAGAGGGAAATCAGTGTTGAGCCATAGGGACACAGATTCAGTGAACTATGCCCTCTATAGGCAGGCTTCATGTTTCCATCAAACTCTTGTGTCTGGTATGAGGTATCATTGTCAAGATAGCAGCAACTGCCTTCACCAGCACAACAGTTTCCTGATGCTGGAGCTACAATGTAGGAAGGAACAATGTCCCTGAATACTCCTTCCTCCCCACCTACTAACAAGCCTGCAAGACAATGAAGAATACAGTAAAAGGGAGAAAAGTTTGGAGACGTGAGAGACAGGATTTCTAGAAAGCAAAAGATTAAGGTAACCAAGGCAAGAGATGACCAAGATGTGAACAGAAGAACAGAAGAGCAGCCATACTGGGACAGACCAAAGGTCCATCTAGCCCAGTATCCTGTCTGCCAATAGTGACCAATATCAGATGCCCCAGATGCAGTGAACAGAACAGGTAATCATTACATGATCCCTCTCCTGTCATCCATTTCCAGCCTCTGACAAAGAGAGGCTAGGGACACCATTCCTACCTATCCTGGCTAATAGCCATTGATGGACCTAACCTCAATGAATTTATCTAGTTCTTTTTTGAGCCCTGTTAAAATCCTGGTGTTCACAACATCCTCTGGCAAGGAGTTTCTGAGTTCCACAGACTGTGCGCTGTGTGAAGAAAAACTTCCTTTTGTTTGTTCTAAACCTGCTACCTATTGATTTCATTTGGTGGCCCCTAGTTCTTATATTATGGGAACAAGTAAATAATTTTTCCTTATTCACTTCTTCCACCTCTATCATATCCCCCTTTAGTCTCCTCTTTTCTAAGCTGAAAAGTTCCACTCTTTTTAATCTCTCTTCATGTGGGACCTGTTCCAAACCCCAAATCATGTTTGTTGCCCTCATTTCTTAGCAATGGAGATAGATAGGAAAGGACACATTTTGTTGGTGTCATATAGGAAGAAAGGACTTGAATTTGGGTGTAGATGGATACCAGAGGTATCCCGAAATAGCTACCCCATGTCCAAGGAACACAAATAATTTTTGAAATAATGGACTCATTATTTCGGCATCCCTGTAAACCTTGTTCCATGAGGAATAAGGGATGTCTCAAAATGGTGCTTTATTTCCAAATTTGGCACCGTGTAGATCTGCCAAATTTCAAAATAGCCTATTTTGAAATAATTGTGTATCTTATTTGGATTTCAGAGTGCAGGCTAGACATACCCAAAGATGCAAGATAAGAAGGGAGGGGAGAGAGCTGAAATTGTATGGGAGGATGAGATAGCCTAAAAAGAGATTATAAAGAGTTGAAAGAAGGAGGACTCTGACAAAAACCTGGGGGATACCAACAAATAGTGGGAGGGTCCAACAAAGGAGATGCTGAAAGACACAGTCTCCAAGGTAGAAGCAGGAGCACACAGAATCACTGAAATCTATCATGAGGAGGATACAGATTTGGAGATAGATTCCAATAGGATGGAAACAGCATACAGATCAATGAGAAAATGATTAGGGAAGTACATATTTAGGTGAGAGGCAAGCATTAGAGACTTTAATGAGGGCTGTTTCAGCAGAGACTAAAGGGGTAGAAGACAGATTGTAAAGGAAATCTAGGCAATGTGAGCAGAAAGTGATTCTTTAAAAATTCAGTTGGGTCATATTTGCAAGCAATCTGAAAGGTGAAAGGAGCCAGAGGACGGAGATGTAATGGTAGGGACAAGAATGAACAGCAAGTGAGATGCAATAGGATTGTGAACACAGATTGAGGAGCTGGAAATACATAGAAATGGGGAGACCACAGACCAAAAGATTAGGGAGAAAAAGAGGAGTAGAAGTACCTGAGGGGATACATCAGAGGAGTCAGGAAAGAGTTAAAGAACCAGCTGAATAGTATTAGCTGGTGTAAATCTGTGTAACTCCCACTGACTTTGAAGGAATTCCATCATTTCATTAGCTGTGGATCTTCTCCCCCCTCCACCCCCACCACCAAAAAATCTGTCACCTACAAGTGCAAGATATAGAAGGCTCAGGAGAAGCAGTGTCATATATTAAACTGATATGACACTTGACCTTGCTTCCAGAAGGAGAGATAACAAATTAACTTGCATGGAAAATTTCCAGATATTGAAGTGTGCAATAGAATGATGTGAAATATCATAAAATCAGTCTATTCTACGAGACATTCTGGCCATTAACATTGATGTGAAAATATTTTAGGGGATCATTTGGATTAATTAAATGGGTTCACACTCCACCTAACCTGCAGAGCATAAGCCTGCAGCAGATCTCACTTCTGTTTTTCCTTCCTACCACAGAAGAAAGTGCAGGGACCACTGAGGCTACTCCAGCCTTCAGACCACTGAGCCTACTCCAGCAGGTATTCTTGTCCTGCTTCATAATAATGGAGAGATTCTTGTACTTTCAGAAAGATCCCTTTGCCCAATAAATTACTTGAGCTGAGTTGGGGAGATAACTTGGAGAGAAATGATTAACTGGAGAAATCAGTAATTTGAGGCGGGGGAAACAAGATTTTTTTTAACATCATAGCAGTAGAGTGGTAATCATGTAGGGAATATTAGGCTACATCTACACTGCACAGTTATTTTGGAATAAGCTATTCTGGAATAGTTATTCTGAAATAGCTTATTTTGAAATAGCACGTCTACACTGCAAGGAAGCCTCAAATTAGTCAGAAGCAGGCTTCCCTAATGTAGACATGCTACCTCGATTTAGAGCCTCAGGAGGAGTAATTTAGAATGACCTTGGTGAAGGGCTATTTTGAAACAGCAGAAGAGGAGCGTCTACACACATCATATTTCAAAATAGCTATTTTGGAATAGGCATTATTCTTCATAGAATGAGGTTTATAGAAGTCATAATAAGCCAGCCGTTATTTCAGAATTATTTCAAAATAACGGAATTGCTGTGTAGATGCTTGCATAGTTATTTCGGAATAATGGCCATTATTCTGAAATAACTTTGCTGTGTAGACATACCCATAGGGACTTGTGTACCATTCCCATTGATGACAACAAGAAGTAAAGTTATGGACTGAACACCATATTTGCCTTCCTGGCAGTTGGACAGTATAGAGACAAGGACATTCAGTCTGGTTATATGCTCACACATTTTCAGAAGACAATTCTAAAGATAGATTTTACTAAACAAAATATAATCCCTGAAAGACTGACCAAAAAGAAAGATAGTAATTATGTTATGCTTAAACAAAGCACACGAGATCTTTTATGGGGGAAAAGGTAGTATGCCACATTTATTGAGAATACAACATTTGCATATGCTTTTCAATCACAAACACAC